AGCGCGAGCGATGCGGCGCGCGTCTTGGAGGAGGAGGCGGTGAACCCCTGGTGCCTGAGTTCGCCGGCGACCTTCGCGGCGCTCCAGTCGGGCGCGCCGCTCTGGCCCGGCGGGCCGGGCGTGGTCGCGGCGCCCTACGCGAACGTCTCCGCGGACCGCCGGCCCGGCGGGCTCGCCGCGGCGCCGCGCGTCGACGGCCGCGACGGCGCGGCCGTCGCCGCGGCGCTGCGCGCGCGCGTGCCCGTCGTCGTGGAGCACCTCGCGGACGCGCGCGCCGCGCGCGAGGCGCTCCTCGCGGCGCCGGCCGCCCTCGACGGCCTCGCCGGCGCGGCCTTCGCCTACGACGGCGACCTCTTCCGGTGGGCGCCGCCCGGGGCGGAGGCGGCGCCGGCCGCGGACCGCGAGGCGACGACCTACGGCGCGTTCCGCGCGGCGGCGCGCACCGACGGCCGGACGCGCCACTTCGAGCTCGTCGAGGCGGCCGGCGGCGCGGCCGCGCTGCCGGAGGCGCTCGCGCGCGCGTTCCGCGGCCTCGACGCGCTCGCGCCTCCCGGCGCCGTCGCGGACCCGGGCGCGGGCGCGTGGAACCTCCAGGCCGGCGCCGACGCGTACTACAGCGACCTCCACTACGACGCGCGGGACAATGTCTTCGCGAACCTGCTGGGGTCCAAGCGCTGCGTCCTCGCGCACCCGGCGCACTCGCACGAGCTCTACCTGCCCGCGGACCGGCTCCAGCCCGCGGCTGTGTGGAAACCAAATCTTCAACCCGACTTCAATGTGAGCGTATTCGAATGTTTCGACGCAATCTCTTCAACTGTGCTTCGAGAACTTGACGAGAGCGATCGACCCGTCCAAAAATCAGCCGAATCGACTTCGATTTGACCGAGCTAGAGAATTCTCAAGTTTGGTCAGGACCACCCAAACCAGTGGTTGGTTTCCACACAGGCCCGCGGGCGAGCCGGGCATGGCCCTCGGCGACGTGCAGGCGCGGAACTCGGCCGTGGACCCGCGCCAACCGGACCTCGCGCGGCACCCGCGGTTCGCCGAGACGCGCTGGGTCCAGGCGCTCCTCGCGCCGGGCGACGTGCTGGCGTCGCCCGGCGCGGCGAAAACGCGCGCGCCCGCCGCGCGCTCGACGCGACGCCGCGCCGCGCGCAGGTCGTGCCCGCGTTCTGGCACCACGCGTTCGACGTCGCGCGCGCGGCCGACGACGCCGACGGCGACGCCGACGTCTTCGTCGCGCTGAACCGCTTCGCGCGGGGCGGCGGCGGGCCGCCCGTGGCCTGCGGCGCGGCGCCGCGGCCCGGGCCGCCCGAGGCCGCGGCCGCCGCGGCGCTCGCGGACGCGCGGGGCATCCCCCGCGTGGCCATGGGCTTCTACGGCGTACCGCCCGGCGCGGCGTCCGCCGCGCACGCGGCGCGCGCGCTCTCGCTGGGCTACCGCCACCTCGACACGGCGGAGATGTACGGCAACGCGGGCGACGTCGGCCGCGCGGCCGCGGCCGTCCGGGGCGACGTCTTCCTGACGTCCAAGCTCGACATGCGGGACCCGCGGCGGTCGCGGCGCGAGCTCCTCGACCGCGCGGCGGCGCAGGCCGCGGCGCTCGGCGGCGCCGCGGACCTGCTCCTGCTCCACTCGCCCCACGCGCCGACGGCCGGCGACCGCGTCGGCGCGTGGCGCGCGTTGCTCGCCGCGCGCGACGCGGGCCTCGCGGCCTTCGTCGGCGTGTCGAACTTTGGCATCCGCCACCTCGAGGAGCTCGAGGCCGCGGGGCTCGAGCGCCCCGCCGTGAACCAGGTCGAGCTGCACCCCTGGCTCCGGCGCGACGGCCTCGCGGCGTGGTGCGCGTCGCGGAACGTCACCCTGGCCGCGTACTCGCCCCTGGGCAAGGCCCGGCGCCTCGACGGCGCCGCGGCGACGCGCGCCGCGGCGGCCGCGGGCACGAGCCCCGCGGCGGCCGTCCTGCGCTGGGCCGTCGACCGGGGCCACGCCGTCGTCGTCAAGGCGGCGTCGCCGGCGCACGCGCTCGGCAACCTCGCGCTCGGCGCGGGGCCCCTGCCGCCGGCGGCGGCCGCGTTCCTCGACGCCGCGCCCCAGGCGCCGCCGACGGGCTGGGACCCGACGCGCCTCGACGGGGCCTGCGAGCTCCCGCCGCTGCCGCGCTGGCTCTGGGGCTCTTGGCGCCGGGCCTGGATGCGCGGCGCGGCGGGCCGCGCGTCGACGGCGCCCGCCGCCTACGTGCAGACGCCCCTCGCCTTCGTCGACGTGCGGCCCGCGGAGGGCCGCGGCCTCGCCGGCGTCGCGCGCGTCGACGACGGCGGCGGCGTCGGCGACGAGGGGCCCGTCGTCGTCTGGCACGGCGCGCCCGGCGACTACCGCGACGCGTGCCTCGGCGCGGACATCATCGACGGCGCGGGGCTCGACGCGGGGCTCGTCTCCGTGGACGCCGGCGCGTCGCGGCCGCCGGCCGGCGCGGCGCCGCCGGGCTTCGCCTGGGACGAGGTCGCGCTCGGGGGCGACGGCGAGGTCTACGACCCGAGGGACGAGGTCGACGAAGCGCCCCGCGTCGAGCGCTGGGTGCTCCACGACGCGCCGGAGACCTTCGCGGCGGCGAGGCGCGGCGCGGAGCTGCTCGTCGTCGCCGGCGACGCCTTCGGGTACGCGGACGAGGCCGCGCGCGTCTACCGAATCGGCCGCGTCTCCGCGGGCTGGGCCGTGGACTTGGCGACGGACGGGTCCGCGGGGACGCGGCTCGCGCTGGCGAGCCTCGACGGGTGGGAGCCGC